TCCAGCTACCATTGAAGATGTAACAACTGATCATCAATTCGAGTATGGGATTTTTCCGCCCCCCCCCCCCCCCCCCCCCCCGGGGCTTTTTTATGGTGAAGAAATCCTCAGCAAGTAAGTTGCTTTTTCTTAACAGAAGAGTGCACGCTTTTAATTAGTTTGATTAGGGTTGACATCGAGTCAGGTTCGGAATGAGTTTTACTCGCTCCAAATTTGATTCAATTTTATGTGTTATTAATTTCGGATTTGATCTTATTTGAAATTTTTTTTATTTTTTTATATTCGATCTCGATTTGATATTATATAAATCGTATTCAACCCGATTCTACCTAAAATTAATAAAATATTATTTTTTAAAATATAAATTATTATTTTTTAAATATAAATATTTAAAAATATCATTTTATAAATATATATAAATAATTAATTAATTAATTAAAAAATAATTTTTTATATAGTATCGGAGTCGGATTGGGTCGGATTTACCTAAAACTTGAATCCGATCCAACTTCGATTGTTTCATAACATTATCCGACTCGACCCGAAATTTGAATTAAAAAAAAAATTTTGATCTCACAAAATCAGATCGAATCAAAATTTATCGGAGATGAATTGAATTACCAATCCTAAGTTTGACACAATAAATGTTATTAAGTAGTAGCTTCGTACACGTTTTGCATGACAATTTTTCAAATTTATAGGAAGCATTTATTTATATAATAATAATTTCCCCCGTAACACCAAAAGCAATGCTTCCCTCCAGAACTGAATGACAAAAGCCATAAAATTAGCTCAACATCAAAATCAAAAATACTATTTTCTGGCCAGACTTCTTAATCACTTGCCACGTGTGCCCCATCCAATAATTATACACTCAAATGCTCAATCATGCTGCATGCTATGTAAGATTTGACATTGACTAATCCCCCACTCATTTTCTTCCACCTCAATGCTTTAAACACATTCCAAAGTAGCTAGTTAGTGTCAATTGAAAAAGAACATGTGTATTTAATTATTAAAAATCTTATTAATACTAACATAATCTTATTGAAAATAACATTCAAGATTGTATATTTTCTTCTCAAATCATATAATAAAGCAAAATAACTTGAAAAATAAAGTGACGACAATTATAAAAGTTAATCTCTCCCACTGCATAATAAACTAAAGAAAAAAAAAGTGTGCACAATGAGATTGTGGCCATAAAAATAAGAGTGCCCCATTGACCAAAAAAAAATGCAATTGTCATGTCGAAAAATGGTAGTATATGCTAATAATATCACCAATTTAATTGAAATAAGAGTTTATATATAATATGAACACACACGTGGATATAAGAGATAACAGATGATTAATTTTCATTTTTTACTGTCTATTAGCATAAAAATAAATGTACACATAAGCTTCTTAACATTTAAAACTTATAAGTTAAATCATGTTATTTGAGTGTGCTTTAGAGTAGTAATTTAAAATTGAATAATTAATCATGTTCTATGGAATAAGAAAATAATAATAATAATAAAAAGAAAAATAAGTTTCAAGAACGAATTGCAAAAACTATAATAAGATAAATGTTTTACAGGAAGAATAAAGATGTGAACATCAATATGCAACATTTGTATCATTAATATTAATCTATGTTATGATTATACAAGACTAGTAAAAGATGAAAATTAAAAGTTCACAAAAAGGACAATCAAATTCTAAAATACAAATACCAAAAAAAAAAATAATCGAAGAGTCTCACCCTGATTTACGCCTACATATGATGAAATAAAAAAAAAAATGCCTACAAACAAAGAAATTTCAATAATTAGAATTAGTTTTAAATTTTTTAAACAAAATATATGTTAAAAATAAAATTTACTGAATAAAAGCGATAATAAAAAATAAAAAATAGAATAATAAAAGTAATAAACAAAAGCACTCAAATAGAGGTATAAATGATATATTCATACTCGTAAATTACTCGATTTTGACTCGAATAAAATTTAAATTTAGTTCAATTATTATCGAGTCGAGCTCAAACTCAAGCAACTAAACTTATTGATCGAGCTAAGTTTGAGTATTCTTATATTCAACTCAAATAGTTTACGAACATAATAGAACTTTTATATTTTAATATATTTTAATTAATAAAATATTTCAAACTCAAGTTTGAGCTCTAACATAAATAATCAAATTTTTATAAAATATAAAAATCAAGTTTATTTTTATATGTTAATTAAATTTAATCAAACAAACTCAAATAATTTAATTTTTATCTTTAAGTTGAATTCGAATTAAAAAAATAAAATTCAATCAAAATCAAATCAAGTTTCAAGTTTTGAATTTCAAATCAAGCTTAAGTTTAAACTTAATATTATATCAGTTTAAATTTAATAGATTACACCCTAAATTCAAACATAATACAATTACAATTGTTAACAAACCCAAACAAATGCTTGATTCATTTTCTCAACCAATAGTTGCATTCCAAACGTCATAAAATTGAGCCTGAAAAATGTCAAGCAGATGGAAAAAAATAGAACATTATTTTGTATTATTGTTATAGATTGTGGATTTATTTAATTCTACAATGAAAAAAAATCTTGAGGTCTTAATCCCTCATGACGTGGCATTATTAGGTGATGTGGCGAATAATTAGAGACCCGAAAAAGCTCCATGGCAAATAAAACGGCAACGGTTGTGAACCTTTAGACTAGTATCTTTCACCACGTCTTCTTCAGTCAACCACGTGATAATCGCCTTTCTTTCACAGCACTGCCACGTGTCAACCCACCAGAAATTGCCAATCCCCACAGAAACTCACCGTTTTGGTCCTCCTCTTTCCCTCCTATAAATTTCCTCGCCACCCTAAAAAATTTCAGCTTAAAAAAATAATAAAATCAAAGAATCACCTTTAGTGTTAGGGATACCGTTTCGATAGAGGCGAAGAAGGAGGCGCCGGTTATGGAGGTGGAGAGTGGATATTCGTCGACGGAGGAGGCGGAGGTTGAGTCGCCGAGGTCTGTAGTGGTGCAGGTGAAGAAGAAATTAGAGAGAGTTCATAGTCAGGTTTTGAGGATAAGAGAGGGAGAGTCGCACCTTGGAGAAGATTTCGTCGGCAATAATAAAGAGAATAAGAGCGATGTCGTCTGTGAAGGAGGCGGTGGTGATGGAGGTTTCCATGAAAAAGGACGACGTCGTGTTAACTTTGTGGTTGTTTCAAGGCCGATCTTGCCTTGCTCGCCTCTCAGCGGCAAGAACAACGTTAAAAGTCCTTGCACTGAAACTACCTGAATCGATCAACTCTATCAATATAATCAAGGTTCGTTTTCTTTTTGATTTATCATTGAACTTTTTTTTTCTATTCATTTTTTTTGTTTCTTTTGCTGTTTGGATGCTAAGAAAACTTCTGTAAATTTTAAATGGCAGGAGTTTCTAGGGAAGGATTTTCTAGTCGAGCACGGTGAAGATTCGCAGTTGCAGTTTTAGCTTGGTTGGGAAAGCTTGAAGATCAGTTAAATATCAGTTAAATAGATTTTTAGTTTTGATTTCTTAATAATTAGGGTTTAATTATAATAGTAAATTTATAGATTGAAAAATCTTCTTTTAATCTGTAGATCATGTTGTATAGAACAGTATTAAATGTACAATGGAATCATTCTACAACTCAACAAAAATAGCGTAGTAATCTTTTCTTTTCTTTTTTTCACGTAAATAATTTTGTTTCTTTCTTGTTCTTATAATAATAAAATAGTCAATCCATCTACAGTTACAATTTCGAATAAATTGGATAAAGTTTATCCAAAATTATTGATAGATCTTTTTTATCTATTACTTAAAAAGACAAAGTTATCTTAATACTAATAATTTTTGGATTATTAATTTATATTTAGGTAATAAAATCTTTTAATTTCAAACGCGAATTTATACTGTTATCACATGTTGATTGAATAAAATTAAATAATTAATTTTTTAAAATGTTTTCCACATATCATCCCTTTAAATTCTCTTGTGCATTAGATAATAATTCATCAATTTTTTAAACTCATTTACCTTTAGATTTTAGAATATTATTTCTTAACAAATCATTAGTTGGTCACTTCACTCGTTCGATTTGGGTCAACTTTTTGTTCTCTAATATGAACTGGGCCCAAAGAAATCTTATCTTAGATTGGGTTTCATTGGGCTGTAAATGGCCTACTTTTTACTAATGGGTTGCAAAGATTTTGGTTATATTATAAAATTTTTAGACATAGAATTAGTAAAATAACATGTACTTTAAAAATTTATTAAAAAAAACTAATTAAAAAAAAAAGACACATGGTGGTCTCTAAATCCTAGAGTTAAAAAAAATACACTATTAATATATCAAAAACCAACCAATTTCTCATTGTTATATTGTTGCTGATCTTAATTTGTAATTAATTTCACCTTTGGATTAGTGTTAATCCTTATTATTAAAGATTTTCCTTTATGCAGTTTATTTTTTCAAAAGTGTAATAATGTGAAACAATATTTTAGTCCAAGGAAGCAGTTAGTGAAAATATGATAATGATGCTGTCTCTGCTTATACTTCCTTAACAGTTTTTGAAAAGTTTGAAGAACAATGAAAAGTTCTTTGCTCTCTTCTTGGAAAATGACCATGAAATAGCATAAAACTCTGAATAAGCCAAGAATGAAATTATTATTCCTTAATTATTGAGCCTACCAGGTGATCCATTATCAATATATATCTACATATATCTCACACTAAAATCAAGAAATAATTCTTCTGTGAAGCAAACTTATCAACCAACAAAACCGGTATATAATATTAGGAATGGAAAATCAAACATAGGGCAAAAAAAAAAAAAAAAAAATCCCAAAAAGAGAAAAACACGTAAATATAAGCCTTGTGCTTGTTGTTCCCTTGGATGGCAGCAACAAGGAACAACCGAAAGAGAGACTGGAATATATATATATATATATATATGTATATATGTATATATATATATGTGTGTGTGTGTGTATCTTACAATGACTTGAAAAAGTTACTACAAGAACAAAAATTGCAGTGATTATTGTTGTAGAAGTTGCTTAAGAATGTTTGCATTAATGCTACTATCGGTGTTTGGAGAGGCCATTAACTCCGATATCCGATTGCTTAAATTATCAATCTCTCCATTAAGCCTCTTAATATGGCTGCATGTCTCATCCAGAAGCTGCAATAAGAATAAAGATAGAGGCAAGGTTGAGTAGTGAACTAATTGTAAACAAAAGCCATAGCATTTAGTACCGTGCTTGGAACTGTGTTACTCTGACTTTTCACTTTCTTTCTTTGAAATACTCGTTCTGTCACATATCTGGATATAAATGTCGACCCTCCAAATATATGAAAAAACTTAAAAAAAAAAAGAAGTCCGTACACATACCCGGTCATCAACCCTGAGTCTGAATATCATACACGGGCTTGAGACCGAGTTGACTAGTTAAGCATATATTTCTCCTTAACTTTAATCTATTGGACAAGGGGAACCAAGTGCATGAGTTTTTCATTCTTACCTTTGTTGCATTTCTTTTCTTCTTCTTGTTATTTGATAGCAATTCTCGGAGTTTGAGGCTAAAATCATCATTTTCATTGCTTCTGGAAGTTGATCTTTTGCTAGACATTTTGTATGAGGGAGGGTGAGAGGACATTGTCTTTAAATTCTGCGGTGTAATGACCAATGAAATAAGTAGGCATTTTATAGATGTCGAAGGTTAGCCGTTGACATGGGTTAGGGCCCATTTGTCCAAAATCTGCAGGACCAGTTTGTCCTCTTGAATTTCGGGCTTTTTAGATGTTGTTTGTTTTTGACTCGAGCATTTGGAACATGCGTACGCAATTAATTTGACTAAATGATGGAAATTGATCAAGTATTTTAGCAATAGTACAATATAATCCCTTCTCCATAAGTAATGGAATGCAACATGCTTGCCCCAAGGTCAAGAAGCTATTAATAGGCTTTTGTTGAAGTAATAAATAGGTTTTTGGTCGGTAATTAGCCATAGCTTAAGGAAACTTTGAAATAATTTTCAACCATAAGAAACCTCTTAAGTTTATATATGCAAAAAAAAAAAAAAAAAACTCATTGATTTTCAGAGACATTTGCTTGAGACTTCGGAGTGATCAGATATTATTCACATGCAAAATGCTTAAACTGGGTTTTGGGCTGCTTGATTGCTGGGAAGAATGTAGACAATAATGATTTTGAATCTTACATTTCTATGTAGGAGTATCTGAGACTGAGACCACAAATGACTTGGAGCTGTAAATCTGAAGCCTTAAGATCTGATCATTTTGTCTAGCATGAGGTTAATCATTTCCTTTTCTTCCTCCTTCCTTCGATCATTGTTTTGACTTTTGATAAAGCCTGTTTCTTCTTCAATCAATTTGCTAGAACACTTTTCAGGCCTACCACAATAAGGAACTTACTGTAAATTCAAGCAACATCAGTAAATTCTCAAATTCCAACTACATTTGATTACTTCAACATCATACATAAGGTAGAAACGCATTTGAGCAAAAATAAAAGGAAAGATTAATGAAAACTTGTCTTTTGATGCTACAAGAGAGAAGACAAAAAGAACACGACATTTTCAATAGCTGAACAATGAGTCCTTTGCAGAACAACTCTTTCCTTTTTTCCACTCTAACCTTGCGTAGTACTCATAGCCTTCATCTTCATCCTCTTCTGCACGCAGATTCTGCACCAACCTCCTCATAAAAGAGCAGCCAAGTCTTCTCTAGCTTCTGAAAACTCACCTTCCTCCATAGCTTCACCAACATACCAATGCACAAATGCACGCTTGGCATACATCAGATCAAATTTGTGATCAATCCTTGAGAACACTTCCGCAACACTTGTAGAGTTTGAAATCATACAAACTGCCCTCTGAACCTTGGCCAAATCACCACCAGGCACCATAGTAGGAGGCTGGTAGTTAATACGACATTTGAACCCAGTTGGACACCAATGGACAAACTGGATTGTCCTCGTAGTCCTGATTGTTGCCCCTGCCCGCATTCACATCCTTCGGCACTACAACATCTCTGTACATCAAGCAGCAGAGCATGTATTTCCCATGGCGTGGATCACATTTGGCCATCATAGAAGCTGGTTCAAAAGCTCTGGTAGTGATTTCTGCCATTGATAGTTTCTCATGATAGGCTTTTTCAGCAGAAATGACCGATGCATATGAAGAAAGCATGAAACGGATTCGAGGGTATGGGTTTAAATTGGTCCGAAATTCTCTTACATCCACATTCAAAGCACCACCAAATCGCAGCGACGCAGTCAGGGAAGAAATAACCTGTAAACAATCAGACTCAAAACATTATCAATATTAGTATACATGTAAAAATCAAAATTATTTGTCATTTATTATTTGAGAATTTACAAATACCTGAGAGACCAGCCCGTTGAGACTGGTGTAAGTAGGTCTCTCAAAGTCAAGGGATCTTCAGCAAATATCATAGATAGCTTCATTATCAAGGAGAACTTCAACATCAGTGTGCTCTAGGATAGAGTGGGATGAAAGAACACTGTTGTAAGGCTCAACAACAGATGTAGAAATCTGAGGGGAAGGGTAGACAGTGAACCCAAGTTTTGATTTCTTGCTATAGTCCACTGAAAGCCTTTCAAGAAGCAGAGAACAAAGAGCAGATCCTGTCTCACCACCAACAGCATGGAATACCAAAACTCCTTGAAGCCCGGTACAGTTATCTGCTAGCGTCCGAATCCTGTCAAGGCAGAGATCCACTATTTCCTTGCCAACTGCATAAAAAATTTGCCCTCCAAGTTTAGAGTACTGACATTGGATTCAATGAGAAAAAAATTTTCTTAAGCTCTTTTCTTACTTGTATATTGGCTTCTGGCAAAGTTGCTGGCAGCATCATCTTCTTTGCCACTAATAAGCTCTTCATGGTGGAACAATCGGCGGTACGTCGGGGTCCTAACTTCATCAATAACAGTTGGTTTCAGATCCAAAAACACAGCACGAGGGACATGTTTTCCGGCTCCGGGTTTCACTGAAAAATGCGTTGAAAGCATCATCTCCGGCTCTAACTGTTTTATGACTTGCATTTGTCCAGCAGGCTGCATCCAAAAAAGAAATTAAAGAGTGAAAAAAAGTTAATACCCAACAAAGAATAAAAGGAAAATATTGATTTTATGTTGAAAAAAAAAGGAAAAAAGAGTGACCCGAATAGTAACATTATTTTTGGAATTTGGATGCGGTGAAAAAGAAGTGGCCAAAACCAAGGAATAGTAGCCAAGTTTCTGAAACATTTCTGATGGCATTCATACAATATCGGGACCTAGCAATTTATTATGGACTTCCATTTTTATCAAAACTAAAGTAAATATATCTTCGTTGTTCAGGAAACTACTGTTTTCTAGTAAAGTTTTACATCATCCAATAAATAAATTCTTCTCTATATTATTTCCGGAGGCCTTGAATTTATTATTATATTTTAAATTTGAGTCAGTTGAACTCAGATTGCATCTTTGGATCATTTGGAATATCTATTGATAACTTGTTCAGTTAATAATTTGACAGATATACTGGAAACAAGAGATCAATTCTATTGAGAAGAGCGTTTTCCAAGTGCAATCTAATGAAATTTATTCACAAACTTAACGCTGAATCTATGACTTTGGCAACAAAATCTAGTTCATAACTCATTGGAGTAAATACTTCAGGTAGCAAACAAATACCAGATGATAAAAGTAGTACAAGAAACCAAAAGTTATGTAAGGCATCCTGAGAAAAGAGGTGACACATGCAAATTGTTAGTGAATGAAAGGGCTTCTTTGGAAATGACTCACAAGCTTTTTGTTTTTTCATGGAAATTTAGAATCAGAATCACAACACAAAAACTTTTGCCAGGTAACCAGAAAGGCAAGCAGAAATATATAATACATTCTGTGTGACTATAGTTTTAAAAAAAAAAAAAAAGTGGAGAGCCTGTAAAACACCAGGCAAGCCAGAGCAGAAAATTACTTTTTTTGAAGTTAACCATTTTCTCTCATTCTAGTTGAAGTGCTATCTCCAGACCCAAACTTGATTCATTTTTTTTGGCAAAATGGCATCTTTTATTTCATTTGTAAATCTTTCCTTTTAAGTTTGGTGACAAGTTTCTTATTTTAAGTTTTAATAAGAAGTTGACTCCATACTATGTCTATTTCAATTTCGATTTCAAGTAATCTGGAATTCAAATTTTATCAATAATTTATATCAATGTTAATTTCTAGTGTACGACTTTAATATTCTTTATCTTAATTTAAGTTGAAAAATAGCCTAATTTTATTTGCTCGCTAAAAAATTTTAATGTTTTTAAAATATTTTTTAATAATAGTATTTTAAATTAATATAATAATTAATACTTAATTTAGTGAATTTTAATATATTAAAATTATTACTTAATATGATAAATTAAAGAAAATTACTTTAATAAGACCCTAAAAAAAGAACAGGTTACTTTGTTTTTTATGAATAAAATTAAAATCAAAATTTCAATTTTTAACTGAAAAACTTGTTTAATTTGATTAACTATATATGATAAGTTATGTATTTGTATCATTTAAAATATTAAAATTTATATATTTATATTATATTTTACATAAAAATTATATATTATAATTTATATCAACACAAAAATATATAATATATAATTTTAATTTTATTAATTTTGTATATAATAATTACTAAAATTCAAGTAATTTCTTTTATTATTATCGTATCAACTAACAATGATATATAGATTCTCTCTCTTAAGATAAGTATACACGCACTCAAACAGTCTCTATTTGTTTTCCGTTTACTTTTTTTTCCTTTCACCTCACCTTAGTTCTCGAACTGATAAGATTTTCGAGACCTTAAAAAAGAGGAAAAATAGAGCAAAGAAAAGGGTCTTTAGATCTCTCATTTCTTCTTTCACTCTCATATCTTTGCCCTCTCTCTTCTTTTTCTTTCAATGGCAATTCTCTTCTCAAAAGCTCTCACTCAATTTCCCCTGACTCAACTCACTTAACTCATTGAAGCTCTTGCCGCCTTTATCCATTAAAAAAACTTGGGTTAGCTTCGGTTTGGAGTTTACAATGGCTGAAACAACAGAAACAAAGGCTGTCCCAGAAGCAGCAAAAAAGAAAGAAAAATGCTTGCCATTTTACTAACTTTTCACTTTTGCTGACAAATATGATTGTTTGTTGATGATCTCTGGTAGCTTGGGAGCTAATATCCATGGTTCCTCAATGCCTGTTTTCTTGTTATTATTTGCTGAAATGGTTAAAGGCTTGGGCAAAAACCAATCTGATTTGCTCAAAATGACTAACGAAGCTGCCAAGGTTCAAAATTTCCCCTTTTTTCATAAAAATATATTTTAAAAATCAAAACTTTTCCTTACTCTGTTTTATTTTACCAACTTTTTAATGTTTTTATATCTAAGATCTGTTATTATTATTATTATTATTATTATTATTATTATTATTATTATTATGTTTAATGCAGTATGCACTCTATTTTGTATATCTTGGTCTTATCGTCTGCCTATTATCTTATGCAGGTTTTTTTTTTCCTTAATTCTTTTTTTTTTAATTTCTTTTTCGGGTTAATATTTACGACCTTTTTCCTTTAAATGTATACA